ATACGTTGCCCAGGGTGCACCACGTGGAGGTAGGTCTATCGCACACCTCACATAATGGTCAAACATAGTGTTAGAGTTACTGTTTTTTTCAGCAACACCATCTATACAGTTCTTTTGCAATCTATCAGTCGTTTGCTAAAATTAAATTTTAATGGTTATTTGTTATGCAACCAGTCCACTCAATTTCTAGGAGCAATTTTCTTGAAGCACCATTGATGTGCTTTTGTTCCTCCAAGTGTGTTTGCATTAAGTCAATTACATCGTTTGTTCTCTCTTTGTAAACTCCAGTGTTATGAAAGGCTACTTTATCAAAGGGTTTTCAAGCAGACACAAACGCCTGAGCTTATTAAGATATCAAATTCTAGTCATGCTGGACAATGAACTAGCCCCTTTTTGATGCTTGTTATTCCCAGTAAATGGCACTTGCTTTTGTCTCTCCTATTTCTATTCTGTCATGTGTATTGGGCGTCTGCTGCAAACTCCTCTTCATAAACTCTGGCCACTGCTCCGGAAATCGCACTGTGAATCATCTCTCTCTCATACTGCATTCTCTCAGAAACCGTGATACCTTTTCTCGGCAGAATTCCTTATCAGATTGCCTGTTGACAATGCACTTCCCCTCTGTGATATTTCCTAGTTTTTTGATTGGTGCATTCGTGGAATTAAAATTACTAGGGAAAATAATCTCTTATCACCTTGAGAAGGGCTTATGCAAGTGTCTTCTAATTCTTTGGCATCAATTTAAACTAACTCTGGGAATTAGTTGTAGGACATTTTTCCATTGGCTGCTTCGGCAGAGGCAACGTAAGCTCAACTATTATGTATTCGGTGCCAAATTGATAGCTTTTATTTAAAGGTTAAATTTTGTTTGATAATTTCAGAAAGAGCTATATGGTAACCCCAATGCTAATTTTCCTTTTTGTTGTTTGAACAATTTGGCATCCTTTTGAAGTTTTAGATTTGGACACTTTTAGCTCAAGCAAAATCACTATTGTTATGCTTTCGTCCTTAAATTCAACAATAGATATGGAGGTCTTCTGTGTTTTTCAAATTCCTCAACTCTAAGCTTTAGAAGTTGTTCGGAATTACAATTGTCTTCCGTTGTTACTCAATTTAACTTCTCTGGCCATAAGCTGCTCTTGCTTCTGAGTTCGAATGATCAGTACGTGATAATATTTTACCTCTAATCGCCATTTCCTATGTTCTCTCAGTTGTAAAACTCGGTGTGACGACAGTAATCTTGTCTAAAACCTAGCTTTGTCCTTTTATGCTTGACTATCTAATAATCCTTCTAAAGGCCAACGGAAAACAGAACAGGATTTAAGGGGAAACGGCGCATCGGGCACAGACGATAAACGCGAAAGAAGGATACCAGAAACGTGGATGTGTTGACGATGCTAAATTAAATGGAGGTGTCTATCTTCCGTTCTTTGCATGTCTAGTGAGTAATCAATGGTAATTATCTTTGAAAATCATTGCGGTGCAAATATGTGAAGCAACATGGTGTTAGGTGGAATGCTGTAACTCCTTCAGTGTTTCCCTACCACTTTCATCAGTTTTATGCCTTGTCCATGTGTTTGGTTGACCGTTTGGTCAGCCTCTTAGCTGTGACGAAATTTCTTCCCCAACGCAGTTCACAGGGATGAAGTCTGCGAATTCTTTTCAGGGCCATCAAACATTTATGAATGCATTTCCTGATAAGCATCAATGTCTTCTTAAGAAGTAAAGTCTATTAAAAGGATACATGATAGTAGTATTAGATGTACTTTTGATGTAAACTTGATCACTCAACGTCCTTTTGGGTATTTCGTCATAATCTACGTTTTTGCCCTTTTGTAGATACTGTGTAAAGACCCTCTCCGAACATCGCGAATGGATCCGTTGTGTCCGTCCAAATGCGGACGGTAGTCTTTTAGCTAGTTGTTCCAACGACAAAGAGGTTCGTGTCTGGTCCCAAGGAACCAGCCCACGTGAATGGAAGCCTCAAGCAGTTCTCCATGGCCATGAACATGTGGTTGAGTGCGTTGCTTGGCTCAACACCTCTCCACAGAATGTCAAGTTAATTGCTGAGGGCAATAAGACGGAAAATGGTGAATCTCAGCTTCAGGTGCAACAGATGAATGGTGTAGATGACGCTAATTCAGATTACGTGCCGATCATTCTTGCTTCTGGTGCGAGAGACCGACAAATATGTATTTGGGATGTCAAAGCCTCCACATTACTTTTCGTTTTGGTAAGTGCTTGCTAAACGGGTTTACAAGTAGTATTTCGATCTGTCTGACTTGGGTTGATTGTACTAACGAGAACTGAGATATGAAAGCGCATGGCTTTTATCCATTTTTGCTCTTTAAAAATGAATATTTTATCCCTATTAACAATTAACTGGAAAATGTACGTTTTTTGGTAAAGTGTACTAAAATGGAAAGCTGTTGATTCGCATGATTTTAAGTAAAATGACAACATTTACCTAATCTCGTGGTGTTATTGAATTTTAACTAGGCTATAATTTTCTCTTTGATGTGAATTGAATTCGTATTTGATTTTACTTAAATTGGACTTATTATTTGTGTGTGTTATGTGTTTCCAACTCAATATATAGGTGTTTGGTGTTCGCTCAAAAGGTTGTAAAGTGCCATATAGGCTATTTAGGAAGGAAATGAAAAGGTGGTTTGTAAATCCAAAATTTTATAGATTAAAAGAAATTCAATAAATAAGGAAACTACGCCATCGTCAAAAACTTGTCCTCTATTAATTGATTGGCTGAAACGGCGATTAGTACTTTCTTCACAGTACCCCATGCATGCAGTGCAGTCAATCTGGTTAAGGTCTGTGAAGTTCGGTGTCCAAAAAGTACAAATGATGGCAATCACTGCTGACTTTCCCCTGAATTGTGGCAAGCGGTTGAATTTGCTGTCGCCTTGCACATGGCCTACTATCGGTACTCGGGGCTTAACGACGACAGTGGTCAGCAACTCCACTTTCAGCAACTCAGAGGGAAGCATCACAACTCCCCTAGGTGAATGCATCTCGAAAATTCCCGATATTTCGAGAAAATTTGGTTTTCATAACTTGGGAATTGTGTTTTGGTTTGTATGACAACATAGTCGTGTAGCATTCCGCTTTCTGTGATGTTGTCTTGGTAAAGTTCTTTCTCATCGGAAACGAACCAGATTGTTGTGCTTCATCATACGTTTCTTTATCTTTGCCGGAAGACGGTTTTTTTGTGAGAAGTCCTTTTCGACGTCTTACGACTAGTGGTCGCGAAGGCCTCCATTGTGTGCAAGCCTCGTGTTAGAGGCCAATATTCCATTAACTGTGCCGATAAAGCCGGAATTGTGACACTACGATCTGATCTCGTAGGTTATTACAACACATTTTCTGCATTAGACTTTCGAACAAACCTACTTTGCGAGAGAAATCGGATTGGATTGGCTGTTATGTTGCTTTCTTCAAGTCACAGGAGACTCGCTGTCTCCATTGAAATTCCAGTCATCGTATATATTAATTAAGCGTGATGTACCTGAAAAAAAACAACTAAGTGTGCAATAAACAAAATTGAAATACGGACGATTTGGGTTAATTACTATTTGTGATTTGTTCGCCATTAATCCTGAGGGACATCTTCAAAGAAGTCCTATAGATGTTGCCTAATCTAAACTTATGTAATACGCAAATTGGTGGCGAAAGTATTGGAACTCTGAATCATTGCAGTCTCTAAACTTCTTTGCTTTTTTGTGACCTAGAGTCTTAAAACCCCTGTGTTATCGTTATTATGAATGCTCCCTTGGTTAAAAGGGGTGAAAAATTTGACAATGCAATAAAAATCTCTTTGTTTAATCTTCGCGTACAAATATGTGTATCCTGCATGAAAATTGTCGCTTAGAGTGACAAGATGATTTATGCATACCGGTTGTTAGCAGTCGCGCATTTGGCCGACTGGACTGGGCTGGACTGTATTGTGTCAGTGGCATTCTCCATCATTTTCTCAGGAGCGTACAAATATATGCTAAACCACCCCACTTAGTGCTCTATGAAGGGATAATTGCGATTAAATATTCGGAATGGTTATGTTAATTTCCATTGATAACAACACGTTTCGATATGCACTACGAAAACAGCCATTTTGCAAGTCTATCCGTAATGGTTTACAGTACTTGATAGTACGAGTAGTATAAATCCTATGGAATGGCCTTAACCATGCGAAAATTCAAAACTGTAAAAATCAGATTGTTTCTGTTTCACATTGTTAGCTTCCGATGACTACTTATCCCGCCTTATTGCGGTCGATTCTGATTGGATGACTGAATTAGTCATAATTTTGCTGAGTATTTGAGTTTTTTTTAAAAGTATATTTTCAAAAGGTAAATCGTAAAGAGTTTATCACAAGTTGTTCTTTTGATAAGCAACTAATGCAACTAAAAGTCTAATCTTAGCTCTTAATATCACCATTGATTCATCCAATTTAGTAAAATGAACATACGCTTGTATTTGGCGGTTGTGATATTTGGTATTTGTGTCAATGTGTGACCTTAAAGACTCGCTTCTTGCATAACGTTTTTTTTAGATCAATAGACGGTGAATGAACTTTAATTTAAAATCGAACATGAGGTTATTCAGCTCATCACTAGAAGGGTTTTTAATGCGATTTGTATAGCTATGACTGTTATTGGTAAAACACTATTTTGTGTTTACTAAAAATGTAAAGCATCTAAGTAAAGAAAATTAAAGAGGACAGGAGTTTAGTGGTAGGCGAAAAATTATTGACGGCTTACCATTTGACAGTTATATTCAACAAGTAACTTACTTATTAATTAATGGTTGCTCTTTAATGCTTCCTATTTTTTTCAACCTTGAAAAGTCTGGAACTAACTCCCGAAGAAGCACCTGAACGTTTTAATGCTCAATACTTTCGGGATTTTGGTGTAATTTCATTCCATTTTTGCACATTTACCAAGAGGTTTCTATCTAGTGTTTTAATCGTAACAAATTCATTGAAGCTACCTTCAGATGAACGCTAATTGTTATTGTACTTAGTTGTGCAACGGCGTTATCGATTTGCCACTTATTTAGATCGATCGTCAGAATCATTCGGAGGCTCTTTTTGAATATAATTATAGGAATTTTCGGGAATCAAATGCTTTTGTATTCACTAAGATCCCTATTTGACATTCGGGAGCTTTAACTTCGATCTAGCTCGTTTAGTATGAAGTAAAAATGTATGCTAAATTCTTTGTTAATTTTACAGAAATCTATAGTACGCACATACCTTTCTAGTAATTTGCGTGATCTTCTATTTTGCCATTCTTCTTCTGTGCAGGCGGGACACGATAACTGGGTGCGGCAGTTAGTTTTTCACCCGCATGGTAAGTACCTGCTCTCGGCATCAGACGACAAGACAGTTCGTGTCTGGGATCTCAAGAATCGTCGCTGCTACAAAACTCTGGAGGCTCATTCGCACTTTGTCACCACGCTTGGCAAGTTCTTTTTCTCATATTGGGGAGGGGGGGGGGTGATTTCGAATATTTTTAATCGGAGATTGATCCATGGTTGATTAGTTTATCTCTGCTTTGCATCACGATTTCTGTATCTTTGTAAATGGCGTTTCAAGTTTATTTATTCAATCTCTTTTTCGCACGTTTTAATGGTGACCCAAAAGGAGTTCAAAGTTGTTTGACACGTTTTGGGCCGACGACATACTGCCATAGTTTTAATCATTTTTTCAAACCTTGGTGAACTTTTTCTGGACACATAAGTAAGGATTCGAGTTGGAATAGACGAAGTGCTGTTGAATGGAAATCTGGCACCTGTTTGTGCTTATTTAAGCATGATTTTAGTAACACTGAGTAAGTGAATGTGTCTATCTGCATTGTGCTCTGACTAGTTTGTATGATGCATTATCAGTTATTGTAGCTGTATTGAATTCCAGAATGACACGGGAGTAAATTACGACGCTGTTCACAGACACTTCAATTTTTTGGGTTTGAAACTCCACCATGGCAAATTGTTGACCTCGATTTCGACAAAGCACAAGGTTATTTCACTATTTAACTCATGCATATCTTTTTCCAGATGTTCACCGAACTGCGCCCTATGCAATCACAGGCAGTGTTGATCAAACCATCCGAATTTGGGAGTGTCGTTGAGTAATACCCATTCTCCTCACCTCTCCTCTTTTGTCTCTCCTTGCCTGTCTATCACCCTTTCAGTGTGCGTGTGTTTAGCTCTCCCTTTCGTCGCCTTTTTGAGAAAAAAAACCAACATATGTAATCGCAGATGCATCCCACCCTACTTTTCACAGCCATTTCGATGAGTTGTAAATCTCTCCCTACTCGCCACCACACCTCGGTTTTTCGTTGGATTTTCACACCATGTCTTCCCCCCTCCTTATCGTGCCATACGTATAAGGTACGTTCTCTCGCATTCTTCGTTCCATCTCGTACAACTGTCTGGCCAAAAGGACTATCCTTGTACATTCAATACTCTCTGTCCGCTTGTTTGATCTATGTATGGTTGCTGTTGCCTCTTTTTTGGTTGATGTTGATGATGATGTGTGCTGCATATTTCTCACGGTTCTCCATCATGCTTGCTCCTCCGCCCCGCTCCCCTTTGTCAGCTCTTTTTCTCTCTCTCTCTCTGGCCTTGGTCTCTTCTGACCACTGCACTATTTTCTTCATGAGTTAACTACAAATCTACAACAAAATGCTTACCGAGGACTCGTCTTGCTCTTTTTCCAAGTGGTTTGACGTACTATATCTTGTTCATGGCAAGTAGAACACACTGTCGCCTCAAAGCGCGTAAGGTACTATTAATGGACACTTATTTCGCCGCTTTGGCTATGATGTCTGAAGGATAGGTTGTGGTTCTTCCTACTCGTGATGAAGGAGTTGAGTAGAAGTATTCAAGAAGTGTAAAGGCTACGTGAATTTGACATTAGCACCATGAGACTTCGATCAATAGTCTAGTGGGGAAAATGCGTGCATTGAAGCCACATTACCACACTGCGATTAAAATTCAGTCCCTTGCACTTACCCAGTTAGATGCTAATAATAAATAGAAGAGTAATACTGCCTTAAGGCTTACCACTAACAAAATTTTAGTTGTCCTCTTTTCTGCAATCTCTACGACAAATCGAAGGTAAGTGTAAAGCGAAATGTCGCATTTGATTGAGGCACTGAAAAAGCACTTTCACTCATTGAAATCAATTTTATTTCTTGTTATTCTTATCGTTTAGAGCATGAAGACTAAATAAAGCTACTATTGCCTAGAAATTATTAAGTGCATGGTTCTGCGATCTATTAATTTGTACTTTTATTTAAATGCGAGGTCATACGGAAATCATGAAAGATCAAATTATCATCGGTCACAGTAAACTTAAGGGACTATATCTATAAATGCGTCAGAACCTTTGCCATTTACTATTGTGTACGTAGAGGTTAAAGTTGCTCTAATACCGACAGATTTAACAGGGGAGACTAACATTTGGCAGACATTCCCTCATGCAACAGCTAGTACGTCCCGATCGCCTTTTTCAAGAGAGAAAGAGCTGGGAAAAATCATGGCAAAAGGAGATGAAAAAATTTTTGGGAAATAGAAGGACATATTTCGCTAATATTTATCATTGATTCTTAGCTTTTACCACAGAGGCATTCGCCATGAGGTATATTAGGTAGAAACGTAAAAATTTTAGAAGTTTCTCAGTTACAAAAGTGTAGGTTTTTCCAATTGTCAAGCGTTGGGCTGTGAATCAATAGGTTTTCGAACCCTCTTGTTAAGCCCGCGGTTCGCTCAATTAAGTCCTTAATACTCGTAGGGCCGGATGGTCCTCTTTCAAAAAAAGCCCCATTGGTACTAGTGAAACACGTTCAATACGTCTCTATAGCCTTCGCCTGATACTATCAAAACTCACTACGTCTTCTGTGTGTGAGTGCACCTTTCAAAAAATAAATTGGGTGCTAGTGTTAATGTTCCACGAATCTTGATAACAGAGCTTTCACAGGGACGTATATCCTAAAAAAAATTAATATACAATAAGATTTTGCATCTCTGGGAATTTAATTTACACTTGACGCTACAGCCTACTGGATTTCGGAGAGCAAATGGCCAGCCGAGGAGAAGATCATAATCAACCGATTAAACAAATGAGTGGGACACGTTATCGCTGTGTGCGTCATCGTATGCCTGCATGCTGCTCGCCAGGATTGGGAGGTGCGGCCGTACAACTCTGTGTGCAGCGACCGTACAAACAGTGACCAATCATCAACCTCTGTTTAACCTAATCCCCCATCCTGATCATGAGTAGCTCCCTGCGTGTACACACTTGATCCGCAATATACCCACTGAATAAGCGCGCCCCGTGCTACACGTCTGTTTCCTTTACAGCTGAGCTATAGCTTAGCTGATTCTGGGATTCTAGCCAGATGTTGGAGGATCTGCCATAGAGATTTCTGAGTCGGTCAGGCTTTAATAAGGTAGCAATCCGCTACAAATGTGTGAGTAATAATTTAGTCTAGAGCTCAAAAGGATACGAACTGGATCGAAAACTAATGTGAAAAGAAGGCACTACGACTATTTTAAGAGATTCAATTTCCGCATAAAATAGTCAAAATTTTGGATTTGATTGGCCACATTTGCAGCTATAGACCCACTGGAGTTAGTCCTTTATAATTTCAGCAGATTTCTTCCATCACGTTAATAAGACTACTCGGCTACAAAATTCAACACATAAAATAAAACGACCGAAAATAACGAAGTCAAAATCTCATTATCTTCAAAAAATTCCATTCTGCAATTCAAAAGTTACAACAAATGCAAGGTAAATAAGTGATACTTTGTTATTCAAAAAAATATATTGCACATGAGATCGATTATCGCAGGTAGTTCATTGGTTTGTTCGCTTCTTCGATGAAGAGGTCTTAAGCCCAAATCTAAAATCAGAGAGTGATGCACTATCTTAAAGAAGGCTAATCGGCAAGTTGACGTTAAATAAAAGATACTTATTCAACATTAATTCATTATTTATAATCTCAAGGGATCATAAGAATAAATTTTTTATCAAAAGACTTACTCGTAGTGTGCTGTCCCAACTGCCAGTACAAATAGCATTTCCATCAGGACATGTGCGTAGAGAAGAAACCCTATTTTCATGTCCATAATGAATGGAAATTCGCTTTCCTTTAAGAGCATCCCATATATTGAGAGAGTGATCATTGTAACCTCCAAACAACAATCGACCTAAAGGGATAAAAAGTAAATTACAGTAAAGACGAAAAGAATGAACTAGTTAACGGTTAATCCTACCACTTAAGGAGAAATCAACAGCGTTACAGCCAAAGATGACGCTATCTTTCTTATAGACACAAAGCTCTCGATCAGTTCTCAAATCAAAGAGTCTTATAGTAGCATCATCCGAAGCAGTAGCGAAAGCATCACCACTTGGGAAAAATCGGATTGAGTTGATGTCAGATTCATGACCTTGGAAAACCTGGACACATTGGCCACTCCGCATATCCCAAACGTTGGCACAGCGATCGCAACTCTAAGTTGAATACATAAAAAATGGAAAAGGAAGCTCACAACTTACCCCTGAAATAAAGACTCTTCCACATTCAGATGGAGAACCATCAATGCACATCACATCTCCAGAATGGCCATGGAAACTCTCAATCATCTGAGCCGATTCAACATCCCAGAGGATACAAGAACTATCACCACTTCCAGTGAGTAATTGATGATCGGAAAGATTGAATAAGCAACAAGAAAGGTAGGAACTATGTGTTGCGACCAGTTTCTTTTTTAAAGTAGGATCCTCTTCTGATATCAGAGGATAAATAGTGCACTTGTTATCCAAGCCACTGCAAAAGCAGTGATAACAGAAATTAATACAACATACCCACAAGCAACAAAGCTATTTGAAGGACTAAATGTACATGCCATTACCCAAGTAGTGGGCATTGATATGCAATACTCTTTAGCCGATAAAAATGCATCCCATACAAAAAGTTTCCCATCCTAAAATATTTGAAATTACCAAACAAGCTACCTGTGATGAACTAACAACGTGGCGTTTATCAAGGGACCAAGCAAGGCTAAGAACTTTTCCTTGATGACCCTTCAAAATTCGTCGGACTTTGATATTTAATGATGGGATTGAATCAAAATGCTCGGACATAAAAGTAACTCAGCCATAAATTATAACATATGCGACATACTTTCTCCGTCGTTTAATTTATTTTTTTCTTCATCTAGCTTTCTTTTCAGATTATCTGCTTCCTTAAGTAGTTGAGGCTCCGTCTGATCCTCCATCAATATTTCTGAATCAAACGCCAAGGCAAGGTTGTTGTTTGAAATGCACATTGATAAACTTAAACGATGGATTTGTGATTTTCAAAATGAGGTCAAATTTGATAAATAATTCAAACTTGCATATGAGGAAAATAGTCAGAGAATAAATTTTATTGGGTTTAGCGATGAAATCGTTAGTATAAACTATCTTTTAGTAAAATGTTTTGAATAAATTCTCGACGGTTTAGGAACAATCTTTTGTCGGCTTTGACAAAATTACTGTGTCTGTTTAGTGCCATAATATATGACCATAAAGTTAGCATTTTTCGCATGATATTCTTCTTAGGATTTTAGTTTACGCATCTTTTCAATTTTTGTCGTTGTAGTTCACGAAATAATGAAAAATAGATAATAAATTAACTACAAAATTTTGCTACATATATTTTTAATTTGAAATTGCATGTAAATAGTAATTCATACCTGAATTGGCTTTCGATTTATCTTATCATGATTTCGAAAACCCACTTTTATGCTTTCAGTATCTGTTGATTTAGATGTGGCCTTGAGTAAATAGACACGAGAAGAATGTTCATATTAAGTTCAAGGGAGTGTCTGTCCCATTGAGCCTGGCAGCGGAGTTTGTATAGAAACCTCTTTGTGTCTGCTCTTTAAATAGCATTTCTTAGCAAGAGATCAGTTTGTCCCCCTATACTAAGATGTATTTTTAATTTAGGATCATCAGAACTCCATTGTGCAATTGCTGAATCACTATAATAAATGTTCTATTTTAGACTTCAATTATCTTTGCCTTTATTGTGATGGATAACTATGTACAATATATTGGGTTGGCGACTATGTCATTGCCGTTTTTGTTGACAGATTCACTCTATACTTTCTTTTGTTTTGTTAACGTGGCCAGAGCATCTAACCTATATTTTTTTCTTACTCTATGGGCTTCTAGGTTAATTAGTAAAAAATTTTTTTTGTTTAGTTCTTTAGTTTTGTTTTTATTCCAATTTAAAAATGAAAGAACAGGACGTTCACTTCCGACACAGTTTATTGTATTACTTCCGAAAAGGCAAGAACGCATCGCAAGCACAAAAGAAGTTATGTGCCCTATATGGAGATGAAGCCTTAAAAGAAAGGCAGTGTAGAAATTGGTTTGAAAGATTTCGTTCCGGTGATTTTTCACTGAAAAATTCACAACGATCTGGCCGCCCAGTCGAAGTGGATGAAACCCATATCAAGGCCATTATCGATTCAAATCGTCACAGCACAACACGAGATATTGCAGAGAAGCTCAATGTGTCGCATACATGCATTGAAAAAATTAAAAACCCTTGGTTATGTCAAGAAGCTTGATTTATGGATCCCTCACCAGTTAAAGGAAATTCATTTGACGCAACGGATTAGCATCTGTGATTCGCCGCTACTGAAACGCAATGAGAATGATCTATTTCTGAAGAACCTAGTTACTGGCGACGAAAAGTGGATAGTTTAAAACAATGTTACTCGCAAGAGATCATGGGTGAAGCAAGATCAACCAGCCCAAACAGTATCAAAAGCAGAGATTCACCAAAAAGAGATTATGCTGTCAGTCTGGTGGGATCACAAAGGAATTTTGTATTTTGAACTCATGCCGCAGAACCAAACGATAAATTCAAATGTGTATGTTGAAGAACTCGAAAAACTGAAGGATGCAATTGAAGATAAGCGGCCGGCATTATCAAATCGGANTAACTACTTTGCGAGGTTCTCTTCCCACAAGCAAAAGGAAATCTTCAAGAGATTTAAAGATACAAGTAAGAAAATTGGTGAAATTAAGGAAGACATAGCAACACCAAATAATCAGTTTGGCGAAATTAAGGAAAACATAGCAACACCAAATAATGTAATCCTGAACCATTCAGACCTTGCAAACTTAAGCTCGAGTGCAAGAAGTCTCCTGGCGAAGACGCTATTCACATGCTGCGATAAAACAACTCAAGTGCAAAGAGTCTCCTGGTATTCATCCGGAATGTATAATTAAGAATGGGACCAAAAGCCAAGGAAACCATGCTAACGCTTTTCTCCTGGCGAAGACGGTATTCATCCAGAATTTCTAATTCAAATGGGACCAAAAGCCAAGGAAACCATGCTGACGCTTTTAAAAATCTAGGAGACCAGTCTCGTACCTAACCAATGGAAAGTTGCCATAGTAATACCAGTACTTACCAACCAATGGAAAATTGCCATAGTAATACCAGTACTAAAAATTGGAAGTTGCCATAGTAACCAGTACTAAAAAAGGGCAAAGAACCTAGCAACTTTGACAAGGCAAATACCCTAGCAACTTTGACAACTATAGGCCTGTCTTCCCACAAGCGTGCTGGCTAAATTTATGGAAAGAATGGTTAACAGGAGGCACACTGGCTAAACTTATGGAAATAATGGTTAACAGGAGGCTGATCTGGTTCCTTGAGACCAACAATAATCTTAGGAATGAAGAAGCAGGTTTTAGGCCACAAAGACCAACTAACCAACAAGTAGCCACTTTCTCCCAACATATCAAAGATGCCCTTGATGCAAGAAATACCCTTACGGCTGTTTTCGTCGATTTCAAATCAGCATATGACTTAGTATGGAAAGAGAATCTAATTCTAAAATTGGCGAAGATTGGTATAGAGCATAAAATGCTAAGCTGGATAAAAGCATTCATTAGACAAAGATCATGTAAAGTTATTTATTTATTTATTTATATCAAATGGCAGGCGTTTTGATGGTTATCATTAGCCCTTTAGTTGACTTCAGGCTTCACAGAGGGGAAGGAACGTCAAAGTGGAAAAAAAGTCGAGAGGTGGGGGGGGGGGAACAGAAGAGT